CCAGTGCTCTGATAGAGGGATGCGCACCCCCTCCAGGCCTGGCCCCTCCCTAAACGCCCCATATAATCCTCCACAGCCCAGATCCAGTGGGAGCCCCAAGGGAGGGCAGACACACAGCAGGAAAGGATTCGGGATCCGTGAGTCACTGTGTGGAGGCCACGGCCGGAGCACCCAATGACAAGAGTGACAAGTCTTTATTGCCATAAGCCACTGCGAATGGGGGACTGTTTGTTACAGCAGCTAGCATTGCCTGTCCTAACACATTCACCAAACTGTTACTACACGTCGGGCGTGGAAGGACGCAGGAGAGAATTAGGCCTACACCTAATCTTGGCCCTGCTAGCACCCTGTCTACTTGACAATTCCAGGACATCGGCTAGAGACCAGTCCTGCAACTTGCAACCACACACTAAGCTCATGATAGGAGCTTCTTCGTGTTATTCATCCTACCTGCTTCCAAAAACCTGACAACACAGCTTCACCTCCCCAAAGACTAGACGAGTAAAGAAAGGAAGAACCCACAAAGGCAGATGAAAGCCTATACCGATGCTCCTGAGGACAATCTACAGGCAAATGAGTTAAAAAAGACAATTAAATTTAGAAGTCTCAGCTGTGTGCTTCCTGGTAGGCAAAGCAAAAAGGGAAATATTGGGGGGGGGGGGCACTGAGCTCTCACCAACAGTGGAAAACATCACCTTGGTTCACAACGAGAAGCACATGTTGTCCTTGCCAAGAGCTCCAAGGGAATGCTCCCCGGGGTCACCGTGTGAGGGAGGCGGTGTGTGGGCAGGAGGTGGCCAACCGTGCCCGAACGCTGTCCCCTCCGCGACGCAGGGCCAGCTTTGCAGCCCTGCCTGTGCCCCGACCGGCTCTTGATGGCGAGATCCTCCGAGTAATTCCTCATCCTCGTTAATGTCAACACGGCAGCACCGTGATAATGACGGGAAATATTTGCATACCATACCGCTGACGGCTTGTTTAGACCATCTGGCGACTAGACGCGGGGAGGACTGTCAAACACATGGCCCGTCCACAAACCCTGTGCCTCGGCGCCGATGGGGGCGGGCTCGGGGACGCGGGCAGCGCCCTCGGGCCGTCCCTGTCACGCTCTGGACCACGGGGACCCCCGAGAGGCCATCGGCTGCCCGTGGCTCAGCTGGCCTGGGCGCAGCGTCAGCCTCCGGCCCCTGTGGGTGGGAGCAGAGCTTCCGCCTCCCGCCTCTGCTCTGAGCGGGCTGCCAACAGCCTCACCCGCCCTGACCGAGGACCTCTTCGGGACGGAGCTCAGAGCACGATGTCCCCGTGAGCTCGCGGCACCGCGGGGAGTTCTGGGGGCGGGTTCAGCACAGTCCGCGTGTGTGCGAAGCCGCGTCTGCCCAGGCTCTGTCAGGGTCCGGAGGAGGCGGGACAAGGATCGGGGACCGCAGCCCCTGGGAGATGGAGGAGGACACCTGGCCTCGCCCAAGGGAGGTGTCGGCTTCCTTCCGTCCGCCTGGCGCTGCCGGGTCCTGGTCCCAGGCTGGACACAGAGACTTTGTGTGGGTTGATGTTAGATTTTTTTTTTCCTTTCTTTTTCTTTAAGTAGCAATATTTTTTAATTTTATTTTATTGATTTGAGAGAGAGAGAGAAACATGAATCTATTGTTCCACTGGCTGATGCACCCATTGGTTGCTTCTTGCATGTGCCCTGACCGGGGATCGAACCCACCACCGTGGCACACTGGGACGGCGCTCTAACCGACGGAGCCACCCGGCCAGGGCTCCTTTCTGTTGTTTGTTTTTTTTGTTTTGTTTTGTTTTGTTTGTTTTTTTTTAAGTGGGGTGTTGGGTGAGTTGTTATTATTTTCTTAACTTCAGTGAAAGCAAAAAAGTTCTGTTGGGAGCCTGTTCAAAAGCAGCGGTTTTCTTCATGGGAAGCCCACGCCCGCCGCCCACGCAGGGAGCGGCGTCGGCCCGGCGACCGTGGTGCCCTGAGAATGTGCGAGTCCCGTCACCTCGACAACAGTGAGTCAAATGGAAACTCTCCGCAGGTGCCGGCCTGGCTGGCGCTGTGACGACAGGGCCTGCAGAGCGCACACCTGGGGGGCAGGCGGGCTGCGCCCCCCTCAACTGGGAACCACAGCTGGCGGCCTCTTGTCACTAAATGCCCTGACGGAGCGTCCAGCGCCCGGGCAGCACACGGTCGGGTGCCAGAGCGGGCCGGCCTCCTCGCCCCGGAGCCGGGGTCTCGGCGATGACCTGAGAGGGAGGAGGCCACGTGGCTGGAAGCAGCTCCTCACAGCCAGGAGCCCCCGGGATGCACCGGCCCAAGCCAGGGGTCTCCCTGGGGCCTCGGAACGTCTTTCCTTAGTCTGTCTGTCTCTCTCTCTCTCTCTCTCTCTCTCTCTCTCTGCGAGTGGCGTGAGTACCACAGACCCTGCACATGGAGGGAGGAGAAGCACGAGAAAGTCAGAACCCAGGCAGACACCCCCGGGGCCACCCGCCTGCGTGAGCGTGGGCGTGCACAGCCACCCCAGAGGCACCGACTGCGGCCTGGGCTTCCTGACAACGGTTCGAGTTTGGGAAGCCGGGCGACCGGCAGGGCCCAGGTGGCACCTCCGGGCAGCTCTCTCTTGCCGGTCAGTCCCCGCAGCCGCAGCGGGCCAGGGCGGGCAAAGGCTCTGCCTGCAGGAGCTATCTGACCGCGAGGTCAGAGGAACACGGCGACCTGCTCGTCTCACACGTGCCGGGCTCAGGAAGCATCCGGCCGGAGACGGGACTCCTGTTTCAACACAGAGAGGTGAGACAGCCAGGGCGGCCCGGCCGCTGGGAGGGGGGTCAGCCCCGGCCTCCGGGGACAGAGGCGGGATCTTTTCTGGGACCACGAGGCCCTGAAGGCCCAGCCCCGGCTCCTTCCTGGGAACCACTCGTCACCAGCCCTCAACGTCTCCCCCACCGCAGTGAGCAGGTCACCCCAGGCCCTCCCGGGTTCCAGGCGAAATGACAACCACGTGGCTGATGGGGCCAGACGTGCAACGGCCCCACTCACTCTTTTTCATTCTTACTTTTTTTTTTTAAATATATTTTATTGATTTTTTACAGAGAGGAAGGGAGAGGATAGAGAGTTAGAAACATCGATGAAAGAGGAACATGGATCAGCTGCCTCCTGCACACCCCCCACTGGGGATGTGCCCGCAACCCAGGTACATGCCCTTGACCGGAATCGAACCCGGGACCTTTCAGTCCGCAGGCGGACGCTCTATCCACTGAGCCAAACCGGTTTCGGCCATTCTTACTTCTTAGTGTCGCTTTGTTCCTGAGAGGATGGCCATCCTGAACGGCTGCCTTTCTGTGTGTGTGGTTAGGTAACACGTAACATAAACGTTCCCGGCCATGAGCACAGCTTGCACGTTGATGGAAACTCAGATATGGCTGCCAGTCTCCGTGATGGGGGAGGTCCCAGCACAGGAACAATGACCCCTGCGAGCACCCCTGTCTGGGAGAAAGCGGCCCCCGAGTTCCTGCCCAGACGCCGGGCGATCCAGTTCCTCCCTGAATGTCCCTGGATTCCCCCAAAGCCACTGCCCAGCGCTGGAGCGCAGAGGAAGTGAGGCTGTGTAAATTCATGGGCTGGCCCTTTAAGAGGAACACCTGGGACTCCAGCAGCCTCCCTGACACTCAGCCACCATCCCCGCTGGTTTTTACAGCCTGAAGCTTCAGGGATTTCTCTTCCCAGCTCTGGGGTCCTGGGCTGGGGGGTCTGATGTGGGGCTGGGACCCCCTGCTTCTCATGGGAGGCCTTGGAGAGACCCCTCCCGATTGAAAAAACTGTGGGTGTCGGACCAGCCCATTCTGCGCCTCCACCCCTCAAAAAAAAAAAAAAGGTGCACAGCTCGGTGGCATTAAGCACATCCACGCTGTTGTGCAACCACCAGCGCCATCCACGTGCAGGACTTTGTCATCTTCCCAAACTGCGACGCTGTCATCATTAAACACGAACTCCCCGCCCGCTCCTCCACCAGCCCTGGGAACATCTGTGAATGGCGACGCTTTAAAAATACTGTCCTTCCTTGGCAAAGTTATTTTGCAACTTTACAAGTCCTGGTGTCATTGTAAAGCTCCTGGAGCTTCTCAGATACTTGGTGGTGGACGGGCGGGCGGCGGAGGGCAAGGCAGCCGCCACCGCCACCCCCACCCCCGCCAGCCGGCCGGCAAGGAATCTTCCGGCCGCATCGCAGCCTGGCGTCCTCACCCAGCTGTGCCAGGAACCGGCCGGAGCCGCCTTTGCGGTAGAAAAAAGGCTCTCACATGGTTTTCTCCTGATTTTCATTTTACTTAAAAGCTCTCCCTGGCCTGGGGTTTTGAGGTTAAAAACCACGGCCCGGCACTCACGTCCTACGCGGGCGTGTGAACTGGCCCTACCTGGACGGAGATCGATGTAGCCACAGCCACAGAAATGGAAGGAAGCAGCCGGGACCAGCTACTCCAGTTCCGGGAATTATCCCACGGATGTGAGGGTATATCTGCACGGAAACTATGTCCCAGGGTGCTCTCCACAGCTCGGTTTGCTTGCAATGTTCTGCTGTTAAAATCCAAAACGCCAGGCAAAAGGGAGCCGTGGAATAAATGATGGGGCTCCCGGCAGCCCAACGCTAAGCCCACCGTTAAAGAGCCCGGGCGAGCTACGTGGACCGACAGAGGACCGCCTCCGGGACTTACGAATTCTTAAGTCAAAAAAAGCAGGTGCAGGCCTGGCCCGTGTGGCTCAGTGGCTGGAGCGTCAGCCCTCGCACTGAGGGTCTCTCTCGGGTTTGATTCCCAGTCAAGGGCATGTACCTGGGCTGCAGGCTTGTTCCCCGTCCTGGTTGAGGGGAATGTCTCTCTCACATCGATGCTTCTCTCTCTCTCCCTTCTCTCCCTCCCCTCCCCTCCCCTCCCTTCTTCTTTCCCTGAAAATCAATGGGAAGAAATATCCCCGGGTGAGGATTAACGCCAACAACAAAGCAAGCAGGTGCACAAGGTGGCAGCTATTAGCAGGTTTTCTTTGCAAAAATACATACTCATCTGTGCAGAGCAAGAACAGACACACACAGACACCAGCAACGGCGCTGTCTGCAGGGAGCAGCGTGCAGGCAAGGGTGTGAAGGAGCATGTGCTTCCCGTCGACCCTGGGCCCTCGGTGCCAGGTGTGTTATCACATAAACGCTGCCGGTGCCGTTACCCCGGCGGCATGGTCATTCTGTGTCCACAGTTCACTCTGTATCTGCAGCATTTTCCTGATTTACACAGCATGTCTGTCAGCAAAGGTTTAACACTGAGATGCAATCCTCCATCCATATTGTCTGACTTTTGCAGATAGTAATGTAGAGAGATGCATTTTTAAAAAGATGTTTCTATTTATTTCAGAGAGCGGATGGGAGAGGGAGAGAGAGAGAGAAACATCAGTGATGAGAGAGAATCATTGATCAGCTGCCTCCCGCACGCCCCCCACTGGGGACCGAGCCCACAACCTGGGCATGTGCCCTTGAACGGAATTGAACCCGGGACCCTTCAGTCCACAGGCCGACGCTCTATCCACTGAGCCAGGCCGGCTAGGGCAAGAGGTGTATTTTTAATCACCTTTTCATTTGAATCATCTCAGGTGAAAAAATAAACCAACCCACAGGCGCTCTAATCTCTAACGGAGACTTTCCAACGGGCTCGCAGAAACGGTTAAACAGTTACGATCGTCAGAACAACTTCCACGTCCACATCCTCTTGCAGCTTCCGGATGACTGTGTCTTCCGGCGGCTTCCCTCGCAGAGGGGGCCGGAGGAGGTGTGTTCGCCGGACTCCGACGCCCTGAACTTTCTGTCGTTCTTGATCTTTCTCCAACCTTCCGCCGTCCATTCAGCTCGACACATTTAAATGAGATCTGCACGGTGAGGGCTTCACCGGCTGGGCTGCTCCGCCTGACCTCGCCAGGACCGCGCCTCCTCGGCAGGTTCTTTACGGCACTTGGCTTGACAGGACCTGAACGCCTTGCCATCCTTGGGGACGAACACCGTGCCGTGGCCGGGGCCCACGGGCCCGAACAGAATCAACAGATCTCCAACCGCAGGCTGCACGCCGTGTGGAGACCACCCCCGTCTTACTGCTTCTAATTACTTCTCAGGGCGTCTCTCTGGAAACCAAGATGAACGTGATTCCACTTGAAGACGTCAGTGTGCGGCCTCCTTTCCAAGAGCCGCGCTCCATCCTGGCCCGGCTCCTGCCCTCATCCGCCGGCGATGAGAGGTATCATCGCCCTGCAGCTGGCATTAAAGGGCGGGCCTCCCACAGCCGTGTCTTCCAGATGCCGTCTGGGTCCCGTAATCCCTTCCTGGCCGAGCCCGGGAGCACCGGCCCCGCAGACACTGCCAGAGGGTTTCGCTGTGAAACCAGGATTGCGCCCTGCTGATTGGGGCTGTTCTTTGTCGCGGTGAGATCTGAGCCTCGCCCTCGTCTCTGGGTTTTTAAGAGTCATGGACGTTGTTGGACTTTATCAAATGCTTTTCTGGCATCTGTTGAAAGAAGAAAGCTTTTTTTTTTTTTTTTTTTGGCTTTTAGTAGTTCGCCTGGTGTTTAATCCTCTGCTTATGTCTTGGAGGCTGGTCCACACCCGGTGTCATGAGCCCTGTGCTGGGTACTGTGCTGGGGGAGCACAGAGAGAGACACCCCAACCACATCGCTCCTGCCTGTTCAGAAAGGGAGAGGAAAGGAAGGCAGAGAACACACACACACACACACACACACCCGTCCCTGTCCCCCCTCTGCACCATCGGAACAGCAGGCTAGGATTTGTGAATTCATGTCACACCCAAGGCGCAGTAAAGACCCAAGGAACCACACGATTCGGGTGAATCACAGAGGACTTCCTGCAGGAGGTGGCAGAGGCCTACTTCCTGCAGGAGGTGGCAGAGGCCCGAGGGCCAGGCTGGGAAGGTGGGCACCTGCATTGGGGTCCCGCCGCCAGTGGGACCCAAGGGCACACTTTCCTGGCCCCTCATTTTCTCAGCAGTAAAACGGAAATAATCACCGACGGACAGAGACCTTCAGGGCCTCCTCCACTTGCAGACGGAGGCTAGGGTTCGACAGAGAGCTGACTTGCCCAAGGTCACCGAGCCGTCTCCACCTCTTTTCCCGGCTCCGGGGGAAGGGAGCTGAGAGATCCTGGCAGAAAAGGAAGCAGAGAACCCCCCGCGTGTCCTGGCTTTCCCTGTAGTAAACGTCACGGTGCCACCGAACGCCGGCCCCCGGGTCAGAGTGTCAAGCGCTGGGCGCAGGCAC